CTTGGCGCTGTTATAAGGACAACAGAGAATAATAAAAAAATTCTCTTAGATGAAGAATAAGTGGTTGCCGCTTCTTATCTTTATAACATTTTTGCTGTGGTGTGCCATCAAGACTTATAGCAACTCTAAGGGCAAAGGTATCACAGGGTTTTTTTGGCAAGGTTTATTCAGAAGAGGTTTACCATTTTGAGGCTGAGAGAGTGTGATTTGCCCAAGGTCACCCATTGGATTTCATGGCAGAATTGGGATAGGAACCCTAGGGCTTTTCCACACTGTCATATAACCCAGAATTTCAAGGCAGAAAATCCCAGAACTTTTGAACTAGGTTATCTGAGTCCACACTGGGTCTAATTTGAACTAGGTTATCTGAGTCCACACTGCCATATATTCCAGTTCAAATCAGATAATGTGGGATTTTATGCAGCTGTGTGGAAGGGGCCTAAGGGTCCTTCCACCTAGGTCCTATATCCCAGATCTGATCCCAGGTTTTCTGTTTATCCCAGATTAGCTGGCAGTGCAGACTCATATAATCTAGTTTAAAGATGAAAATATGGGATTAGATCCTGGAATATAGGGCCTGTCTAAGAAAGGCCCTATGCGCCCTTCCACACAGCCCTGTATCCCAGAATATCAAGGCAGAAAATCTCACAATATCTGCTTTGAACTGGGTTATCTGAGTCCACAACTCCCGCTAAAATGAGCCCTCCTCCATAAATTACCTGCTTCTTTCTTTTATCTCACCCGAGTTTTTTTAATTAGTTTTAATCAGTTTGTCTTTTAATCATTACATGTAGCAAATGATTACTGTGCCTGTCCATATTGTAATTTTATATTGTTATTTATTCATATGTTTTATTGTTCGCGTTTTCTGTTTGTGTTTTGGTTTTTCTTTATTGTAATTGTCATTTGGGCTTGGCCTCATGTAAGCCGCTCCAAGTCCCCATTGGAGAGAGGGTGGCGGGGTATAAATAAAGATTATGATTATGATTATGATTATTATGATTATTATTATTATCTGGGTCCACACAGGTTAAGATGGGATTTACTGCCTTGATATCCTGGGATATAGGGCTGTGGGGAAGGGTCCTAAGTCTCCACTGTTGTAGTCCAGCACGCAGACTACTACACTATGCTAACTTTCAGTCATATACAATGAAAAGATCAGTCTAGGTCAGTGTTTCTCAACCTTCCTAATGCCGCGACCACTTAATACAGTTCCTCATGTTGTGGTGACCCCCCAACCATAAAATTATTTTCATTGCTACTTCATAACTGTAATTTTGCTACTGTTAGGAATTGTAATGTAAATATCTGAAATGCAGGATGTATTTTCAGTCACTGGAAATCCCAGCAACTACAACTCCCAAATGACAAAATCAATCCCCCCCAACCCCACTAGTATTCAAATTTGGCAAAAATACCCAATAAAACCAAATTTGAATACTGGTGGGGTTGCGGGGGGGGGGGGGGGGGGGGGGGGGGGGGGATTGATTTTGTCATTTGGAAGTTGTAGTTGCTGGAATTTATAGTTCACATACAATCAAAGAGCACTCCGAACTCCACTAACGATGGAATTGAACCAAACTTGGCACACAGAACTCCCATGACCAACACAAAACACTGGAAGGGTTTGGTGGGCATTGACCTTGAGTTTTGGAGTTGTAGTTCACCTACATCCAGAGAGCGCTGTGGACTCAAACAATGACGGATCTGGACCAACCTTGGCATGAATACTCAATATGCCCAAATGTGAACACTGGTGGAAAATAGACCTTGTCATTTGGGAGTTCCAGTCACTGGGATTTATAGTTCACCTACAATCAAAGAGCATTCTGAACCCCACCAATGATAGAATTGGGCCAAACTTCCCACACAGAACCCCCATGATCAACAGAACATACTATGTTTTCTGATGGTCTTTGGCAACCCCTCTGACACCCCCTTGCAACCCCTCCAGGCCCCCAAGTTGAGAAATGCTGGTCTAGGTGGAAGTCTCTTCCAGGACAGAGTAAAAGAAAGTGTACACCATAATTCAGTGGAAGAGTATTTGCTCTAGCTCTAAAAGCTTGAATGTTTACTCCCTGGTGTTTCCAATGAGAATTTCTTAGGTTTCGAAGCCACATGTCTATGTACACACAAGCCACATTTTACATGACTTTTGAAATATTGCTTTCCTGTCTTACATCAAAAGAACTCAGGGCAGCGTGCAAGTACTGATAATATGCATCTCAATATACTCCTATCCACTCAAAGCACTGGTAAGTTGCCGCTACGTGGGAATGGCCCCTTTTCAACTCAGTGGGTTGTGGGGAAAAGTGAATGGGGTGCTTCAGCTGTGAGGCCACACGGGGTAAAGCCAAAAGTTGTAAGCTTTGCATCCCGATCTAAGCCTTATGCTGGTGAAAGTTCCTATTTATAGGTAAATAGGAAAGTTTTGGGTTGTGTAGGGTGTTTTGGGCTATATGGCCATGTTCTAGAGAGGCATGCTCTCCTGACGTTTTGCCTGCATCTATGGCAAGCATCCTCAGAGATAGAAATGTTCTATACAAAGCTCAGCCTCTTTTGCTCATCAAGCCCAATGCTGTCACATCTGACTGACAGTAGCAATCTTGGGTTTCAAAGGAAGATTGGAAATGCCAGGGAGTGAACATTCAACCTTTTCCAGGTAGAGCAGTACTCTTCCAATGAACTAGCGTCCTACTTCATTTACTTTGTCTTTGCCATTATAATATGTACGCCAAGGAAGCAACTTGTTATTGAATGCATCTAGCCTGACTAAGGGCCTTTCCACACAGCCTTATAACCCAGAATATCAAGGAGGAAAATACCACAATATCTGCTTGGAACTGGATTATCTGAGTCCACACTGCCATATAATCCAGTTCAATGTGAATTCTATACAGCTGTGTGGGCCTCGGATGGATTTGGTATCTTTTAGAAACAGGCACTGCATATATCTTGTTGTGTGTTTCCAAGTTGTTTCCAATTTACAGCAACCTGTAGGGGTTTCATTGGCAAGATTTATTCAGAGGGGTTTGCCTTTGCCTTCTTCTGTGACTGAGAGTGAGAGGACCCTTCCACACAGCCATATAACCCAAAATATGAAGGCACATAATCCACAATATATGCTTGGAACTGGATTATCTGAGTCCACACTGCCATATCATCCAGTTCAATGGAACCCCCGGTGGCGCAGTGGGTTAAACCCCTGTGCCGGCAGGACTGAAGACAGACAGGTTGCAGGTTCGAATCTGGGGAAAGGCGGATGAGCTCCCTCTATCAGCTCCAGCTCCTCATACGGGGACATGAGAGAAGCCTCCCACAAAGATGATAAAAACATCAAATCATCCGGGCATCCCCTGGGCAATGTCCTTGCAGACGGCCAATTCTCACACACCAGAAGCGACTTGCAGTTTCTCAAGTCGCTCCTGACACGACAAAAAAAAATCCAGTTCAATGTGGATTCTATACACCTGTGTGGGAGGAGCTGGACTTGCCCTATGGCCAAGCAGAGTTTTCAACCCAGGATTCCAGAGTCATAGTGTGGTGGAGGCTCCTTCTTTGGAGGCTTTTAAACAGAGGCTGGATGGCCATCTGTCGGGGGTGCTTTGAATGCGATTTTCCTGCTTCTTGGCAGGGGGTTGGACTGGATGGCCCACGAGGTCTCTTCCAACTTTTTGATTCTATAGTTTCAGCATTCAAAACAATGGAGACCACAATCATTTGCAAAACTGATCCTGATCTCTATGTGATCTCTATGAGCACACATGTGGGATTGCCATTTCCCACTCCTGGCCCTTCCACGCAGCCCTCTGTCTCAGAATATCAAGGCAGGAAATCCCACAATATCTGAGTGTGGACTCAGTTAACCCAGGTCCCTTCCACACAGCCCTATATCCCAGAATATCAAGGCAGAAAATCCCACAATATCTGAGTGTGGACTCAGTTAACCCAGGTCCCTTCCACACAGCCCTATATCCCAGAATATCAAGGCAGAAAATCCCACAATATCTGAGTGTGGACTCAGTTAACCCAGGTCCCTTCCACACAGCCCTATATCCCAGAATATCAAGGCAGAAAATCCCACAATATCTGAGTGTGGACTCAGTTAACCCAGGTCCCTTCCACACAGCCCTATATCCCAGAATATCAAGGCAGAAAATCCCACAATATCTGAGTGTGGACTCAGATAACCCAGGTCCCTTCCACACAGCCCTATATCCCAGAATATCAAGGCAGAAAATCCCACAATATCTGAGTGTGGACTCAGTTAACCCAGGTCCCTTCCACACAGCCCTATATCCCAGAATATCAAGGCAGAAAATCCCACAATATCTGAGTGTGGACTCAGTTAACCCAGGTCCCTTCCACACAGCCCTATATCCCAGAATATCAAGGCAGAAAATCCCACAATATCTGAGTGTGGACTCAGTTAACCCAGGTCCCTTCCACACAGCCCTCTGTCCAGAATATCAAGGCAGAAAATCTCACAATGTGTTTTGAACTGGGTTATCTGAGTCCACACTCAGATAATGTGGGCTTTTCTGCCCTGATATTCTGGGATATAGGGCTGTGTGGAAGGGCCCTGAGTCCACACTCAAATATTGTGGGCTTTTCTGCCCTGATATTCTGGGATATAGGGCTGTGTGGAAGGGCCCTGAGTCCACACTCAGATAATGTGGGATTTTCTACCCTTGATATTCTGGGATATAGGGCTGTGTGGAAGGGCCCTGAGTCCACACTCAGATAATGTGGGCTTTTCTGCCCTGATATTCTGGGATATAGGGCTGTGTGGAAGGGCCCTGAGTCCACACTCAAATATTGTGGGCTTTTCTGCCCTGATATTCTGGGATATAGGGCTGTGTGGAAGGGCCCTCCCTCTTTTGCTCAGGCAGCAAAACCAACAGGTTAAAAAGAAGGCGCAGTCTCACCTGTTGGGTTGAAACCTGGCTAAAGCTCTTCCCCACTGGCCAGAACTCAAGCCGAAGAGGAGATCTTACCTGTATGAAGGCAGGGAAGAGGTTGTCCCACTTCTCCAGCGTCCTGCTTGCTTTCCCCCAAAACTATCCGCACAGAGAGGTCACAATCTCGGGATAGGAGCCTGAGAAGGCACCCGCAACCTGCTCCTCTTCATCTCTCCTTGCGAATCCCACCTGCATCTCTTCGATGATATTCCTCCCCTCCCAAGCTTTCGCGATCCCACCCCAAAGGTCCCCCCTCCCTCCCCCTCTTTCTTTTTCTTTTGGCTTTGTTTTTTTGGCTCCCCTTCAGCCAATCAGGAGTGGCGGCTGGAGGCGCCTTTGAAGTCGGGCGAGCGAACCAATCATTAAAATAGATTGAGGGATTTCAAAGCGGGGGCCTGGCTCGGTCGCCTTTAAGTGCCGGGCCCCCCCGCTGGGCCGCTTGTTATGGATGCAAAAGGGGGCTGAGGAGGCTGGTGGGCCAGCCGGGGAGAGGGCCTGCTCGCCTTTTATCTCTCCCAAGGTGCAGGGCAAGCAGGCAGGCAGGCAGGCAAGGAGACACAGGCAGAGGGACTTCAGTGCTGTCACTTTTCCTTGGGAGGGGGTGCAAAAGCCATGGCTTGGGCAGAGCCTTCACACTCTGATACAGTAAATACTGGTTGGAGTGTCCCATATCCCAAGTGCTTGGGACCAAAATTGTTTTGGACTAGTGGGTTGTTGTAGGTTTTCCAGGCTGTATGGCCATGTTCTAGATTACTACAATGTGCTCTACATGGGGCTGCCTTTGAAGACCGGAAACTTCAGCTAGTTCAACGGGCAGCAGCCAGATTATTAACTGGGGCGACATACAAGGAGCATACCATCTCCCTGCTATGCCAGCTCCACTGGCTGCCGGTCCATCTCCGAGCCAAATTCAAAGTGCTGGTTCTGACTGTGAAGATGCAGTAATTATCACTGCCACCAAATTTGAGAAGTAGTCAGCAGAGGAGTAGCTAAATTACAAGTGCTGTTGTGTAACAGGAGAGTAGAGGGAGATTTATTATTTATTTCTCTGTATTTCTGCCACCAACGTGAGGTAAGATGTATTATTGTGAGAAATGGCACACTGGACGCAGAATTGATGGAGATGAGGCAGTCTTCAAACAAAAGTTAACAAATTTATTGAGCACAAAGCGTGTGGTTGCAAGTTGTAACTTTTCTTATAGAACTCAGAATAATACTTGGTTAGTTGAATGTTGCACTCTTTCAGGTTACACAGTATCTTCCTGAGGTGAAGCACTTATTACTAAACAAAGTTTCAATACAGGGATATCTCCCTTATCTGATCCTCCCTTGATCAGATACTTACTTCGGGCTGAGAACAGCAGTATAAATAAATAAATAAATAAATAAGCTTATTCTTTAGCCTTTCCTTAGACTAAAAGAATACTGGCTATGTTTCCCTTATCAGCCTCTCTAGCCTAAGAAACTTCCAGTAGCTTAATCTGGCTTTCCAAAGCCTCGAAACTTTGCTTCACAATTCACTCTCTTTCAGCTACAACCTCCTATCTTTCCTCTACCGACTCTTCACCCTCCAATCTTAACTGCCTCACTAACTGTCTGTTTTCAAAACTCTCTCCTCTAGGCTCCTCCCACTTCTCTCTCTGCCGGCTTGCCTTGGTCCCCATGGCAACGCAGATGGAGGATTCCTTTGAAATAGGCCGCTCCAGAGTTACTGCAGCCAACACAAACCCATAAATACAGTTTAAATCATGCAAATTATTATTAACTCCTGTACACTGACCTATAAAGCTCTATACGGTTCTGGCCCAGCTTACTTGTCCGAACGTATCCACCCCTATGTCCTACCTTGTATTCTAAGATAATCCGGGGAGGCCCTGCTTTCGCTCCCATCAACAGCACAGATGCGTCTGGCGGGGACGAGAGACAGGGCCTTCTTGGCTGTGGCCTCTCGCCTATGGAACACACTCCCAAATGAGGCAAGATCTGCTCCCTCCCTCTTGGCTTTTAGAAAGAAATTAAAATCATGGTTTGGGACCAGGCCTTCGGGAGTAGAAGTAAATGTATGCTGCATTTCAGAAGGACAATGACTGGAATGGCCATTCAACAGATGAGACTGTTTTATTGTTTTAAATATTGTTTTATTGCTTGTGGATGTATTGTCTTAACTTGATTTATGTCAAATTGTAGTGTATAATTGTAATTGTTTGTACTGGCATTGAATTTTGCCATTACTTATGTGTAAACCAATCTCCCTGTTGTGCCACCTTTACAAAGTTCTGGAGAGACTTATTTTGCATAGAATTATGGAAAAAATAGACCCATGTCTGATTCCACAGCAAGCTGGCTTCAGGAAAGGCAAAAGCTGCACATCGCAAGTGCTGAACCTGACTCAGCACATAGAAGATGGCTTTGAAAGGCAGCAGATCACAGGAGCTGTCTTCATAGACCTGTCAGCAGCCTATGATACTGTGAACCACCGCCTCCTCCTGAGAAAAATGTATAATATCACAAAGGACTACCACTTCACCCGCCTCATAGGAAACCTGCTACAAAACAGGAGCTTCTTTGTTGAGTTCCAGGGCCAGAGAAGCAGATGGCGGAAACAGAAGAACGGCCTGCCTCAGGGGAGCGTGCTTGCTCCATCCATGTTCAACATCTACACAAATGACCAGCCACTGCCAGAAGGGACAGAGAGTTTCATCTATCGTTGATTGTGCCATTACTGCTCAAGCAGGGAGCTTTGAGATGGTAGAACAGAAGCTCTCCGAAGCTCTAGGTGCTCTTACTGCCTATTACAGGGAAAACCAGCTGATCCCTAATCCATCTAAAACACAGACATGTGCTTTTCACCTCAAGAACAGACAAGCATCCCGAGCTCTGAGGATTACCTGGGAAGGAATCCCACTGGAGCATTGCAGCACACCCAAATACCTGGGAGTCACTCTGGACCGTGCTCTGACCTACAAGAAGCACTGCCTGAACATCAAGCAAAAAGTGGGCACTAGAAACAATATCATATGAAAGCTGACTGGCACAACCTGGGGATCACAACCAGACACAGTGAAGACATCTGCCCTTGCGCTATGCTACTCTGCTGCTGAGTATACATGCCCAGTGTGGAACACATCTCACCACACTAAAACAGTAGATGTGGCTCTTAATGAGACATGCCCCATTATCACGGGGTGTCTGCGCCCTACACCACTGGAGAAATTACACTGCTTAGCCGGTATTGCACCACCTGACATCTGCGGGAAGTAGCAGCCAATAGTGAAAGGACCAAGGCAGAGACATCTCCAGCTCATCCCCTGTTTGGGTATCAGCCAGCACGTCAACGACTTAAATCAAGAAATAGTTTTCTAAGATCTAGAGAGACACTCACTGGAACACCTCAGCAAGCGAGAGTCCAAAAGTGGCAGGCTCAAACCCAGAGCCTCAATCAATGGCTGATACCAATGAGAGACTCCCCCCTGGGCACACAGAAAACTGGGCAACTTGGAAGGTGCTGAACAGACTGCGCTCTGGCACCACGAGATGCAGAGCCAATCTTAAGAAATGGGGCTACAAAGTGGAATCCACGACATGCGAGTGTGGAGAAGAGCAAACCACAGACCACCTGCTGCAATGCAACCTGAGCCCTGCCACATGCACAATGGAGGACCTTCTTGCAGCAACACCAGAGGCACTCCAAGTGGCCAGATACTGGTCAAAGGACATTTAATCAACTACCAAGCTTGCAAACTTTGTGTTTTGTTTGTTTGTTTGTTTTAAAAAATGCAATGCAACTGTTTGGTCTGCCCCTGACACGATAAATAAATAACTGCCTTGATTCCCCCTCAGGGTGAGAAAAGCAGTATACAAATACTGTAAATAAATAAATAAACAAACAATAGAAGCATTCTCTCCTGACGTTTCACCTGCATCTATAGCAGGCATCCTCAGAGGTTGTGTTTTGGAAATGTCTTTATTAAAGACTTGGATGAAGGTTTAGAGGGAGTACTTAATAAGTCTGGAGATGACACCAAATTAGGAGGGAGAGCTAATACTGCAGAGGACAGAATCAGAATTCAGAGTGACCACAACAGATTAGTGAGCTGGTTGACCAAAACTAACAAAAGTAATTTCAGCCAGGACAAAAATGTAAGATACTACACTTAGGCAGAAAAAATGAAATGCGAAGATGGGGGATACCTGGATCCACAACAGTTCATGTGAGAAAGATCTTGGGGTCCTCATGGACAACAAGTTGAACATAGTGAACAGTATGATGCAGCAGCTTAAAAAGCCAATGAGGGTTTGGACTGCATCAAAAGCAGTCTAGTGTCTAGATCGAGGGAAGTCACGGTGCCTTTGTATTCTGCTTTAGTTAGACCTCACCTGGAATACTGTGTCCAGTTCTGGGCGTCACTGTTCAAAAGAAATATTGACAAGCTGGAAGGTTTCCAGAGGAGGTCTGGAGACCATGAATCCCTATGAGAAGCATCTTAAAGAACTGGGCATGTTTAGTCTGCAGAAGAGAAGGTTGAGGGGAGACTTGATAGCCATGTATAAATCTGTGAAAAGTGTCATAAGGAAGAGGGAACAGGCTTGTTTTCCGCTGCCCTGGAAACTAGGACTCTGAGTAATGGGTTCAAATGAGATTTCATCTGAACATTAGGAAGAACTTCTTGACAGTAGGAGCTATTCAGCAGTGGAACTCTCTTCCCCAGAGTGTGGGGGCTTTTAATCAGAGACTGGATGTTGGGGGTGCTTTGATTGCGATTTTCCTGCTTCTTTGGCAGGGGGTTGGACTGGATGGCCCATGAGGTCTCTTCCAACTCTATGATTTTGTTATTTCCTTCCTTGGAAACTTTTGAACAGAGGCTGGATGACCATCTGTCAGGGGTACTTTGTGCTTTCCCTGCATGATAGGGGGTTGGACTGGGTGGCCCATGTGTTCTCTTCCTACTCTATGATTATATTATGTATGTTGGCATATACACAGGGAGATAGTAAGGAGGTGTACACCTACAAATATATATCCTGAGGTCTTCAAGCCACTCTAAACACCTTTGCAGAATCATACGAAAAGCTTGGCCTCTCACTGAACGTTGA